TTAATAAAACTGTTAGTATAATCCATGAGAGATTAACATATGAAACACGACGTAACTGTTGTTGCTTAACAAAGCGGATTCGTTTTATTGTCTCTATTAGGGGCACAGTTTTTCAGCATTCTTTTCCTCCTGCAAAAACCATATAGCTCGAGATCAATCAGTATTTTACTTCGTTACTCTTTATGAGACGACAAAAAAAGGTTATTAACTGCTATTGAAACTGAATTAATCTTCTTCGGTTAGCAACTTGAACTGCCGCCAAAATTTCTCTTTCGGCATCAACCGGTTTGCGTAGTATTGAATATTTGCGACATGATAATCAGCCTCGCTCTGTGTAACCCTCGCCACTCCATTCCGGCTTGAGGTCTGTATCAGAGTCTGTATTACTGGGATGGGAGAGGAGGCGGTGTGAATAAGTTGTCTGTCAGAGTAGGAATGAAATTTCTATCCTATGTAATTGAGCACTCCTCTTGCATTGTGTTTCACAAAAGTATAATATGGAATACAATCAATGAATCATTTCTTACATCTTTTCATCAGGTTTTGGTTTATTTAATGTCGTTGGTTTCTTTGACCATTGATCCAAAGCTTGTACAACTTCTTCTTGTGATCGATTAAAATCAAGTTCTTCTATAGGTGCTTCTGCAGTAGCTTGAGGTTTTTCCTGTTTAGGTTTTTCTTGCTTTGGTTTTTCTTGTTTAGGTTTTTCTTGTTTAGGCTTTTCTTGCTTTGATTTTTCTTTTTTTGGTTTAGCCTCTTTGTCTGTAGCTGCTGCACCACCGCTTGCTTCCGGTTTTGGAGTAGTCGATTCTTCGACTTTTAAATTTTGTAAATTAATATCTTCTGTATGGTCCGACGTTGCCATTATCTGAAAATAATTTGTAAACGAAAATGTTTTTATTTCTATGCCAATATATAGTGTCATATCAATAATATGATGCAAGAGAAGTGATGAATCATGCATTAGTCATAGAATTGCATTTGATTTTTTTTTCGTTCTATTAACAGTTCTTGTTTTGGATCACATCTGATCAATACACAGAGAAAAAAAAGATAACACATTAGGAACCGAAACAGTATTCAAGAAGATTACTCCAAAAAGTGGATTAATCATCAGGAGGAGAAAAAAAAAGGAATGATAAGATATTGAATTTTCTATTTTGAGCAAAAAAAAAATATTCTTTGTTTTATCAGTCGCAAAAGCGAATCTGTTTCCATCATTGAAGTCCGAAAGACAAAAAAAGCACACCCACCTACACACACACACATTGAAGTACTATTGAACAAGAGTATACTGATGTACAAAAAAAAGATAAGAAGTGAAAGATATCAGACATAAAAGAACGGAAAAAAGATTGAGCATGTTAAGTATTCAATCTAAAATTATATAAATAAAATGAGTGAATTGAAATTAGTATTCAGTGAACTTACTTTCTTGGATGGATTGCATAAATGGTGAAGAATCGAAATGATGAACAGCTTTTATAAACGAATCCTAAGCAAACGAAAATAAGATAGACGCTTCGAAATAAAAAAAAATCTATAGTTCAATTATTTTTGAAGATAGATCATATTAAACAAAAAAAAGAGCGTATGAAAATTCAAGTTGAAGCAACGGTATACATTAAAACTCTTATCATTTGAAGTTTATTTTAAAATGATCTCTGTTTTTTAATATCTAAACTAGAAAACAAAAATAACTCTTGATGATATGTTGAACATCTACCTCTATCCAAGCAATAAAGCTAAATTTTATCTTGCAATCGACATAGAAAAAATTTTTGATTTTAACTTTCTTTATGATAAGCAAGTGTTTGAAATGGTTTCAAACTTATATCGATATAAAATTGTATTTGACTATTTATTTTGATTAAAAGCTATTGAAGCCAAAGTAACAATTCATACAATGAAGCTAGTAGTTCTATGCAATGCCTTATCTATTTACTTTTTCGTATAGGGCAGAAGAAAAACTAAAAATTTATTGCGTCATAAGTTGAAAGCGTCGGGTTCAAATACCTCCGGACTCGTGTTATAAAATAAAATATTATCTCGCTTAGACATGCACTGAAAGCAAAAGTTCGAATTCAATCTTGGTTGCTGCCATTTTCAGTTAGGTCATAAAAGCAAGTAGAAGTAAGCCAGAAGAAAAGATATCAGGTTTGATTATGTTAGATCTACACAAACAATTCAAATATCAAAGATCTGTAAGTCTCCTTAAAAAAAGTCAAAAAGTCAAGATTATCTTGTATTAATTAAGAGATCCGATAAGCATGCTATAAGTTTATATTTGTTTGAATAAAGAGTAATGTTTTCTATTTATTCTTGTCACTTTCTTTTTCTAATTCTATTTAGTAGACAAAAGAACTGAAACTTTCTCAATTTTTTAGTTTAATCATAAGAAATTTTGATTTCAAAGGTTACTTTAATATACTTACTTGTCTTGATGATGTGCTCATTCGTTTATTTGAATCAAAAGTATTTGACCATTCATCTTGTAATAAATGCATTGGACTATTATTTTTTTTCGATAAATGTTTATTGGGTTCTGGACTAAATGAAAAAGCTCGACTTAAACGTTTATTTGCTTTATGAAGACCACTAAAATATGAATATATGTATATATACAAAAAATATTTATTAATTCAAAACAAAAACAAAAAAGAAATTCCCACCGTTTAAGTGCTAAACCTAATAAATTTAAACTACTAGTTGAACGTAAACCTGAATCAATTTCTGAATTTTCAAGTGATGTTTGAGAACAATATATATGATGATTATTATTCGAATTAATAACTGTTTGAATAAGTGAAGACTAAAACAAAAAAGTATACATGATCTTTTTTTTTTTTTGTTTAGTTTTAAAATAATTTACTTTATCAAGTAAACATCGATCATCTGAAATAACTTTTGATAAATGATAAAGTACATCGGTTTTATTATTTCCATGATGAGTACTATTTGATAATGTTGAAATTGATGATGATGATGATGACATTGAATCAGTAAAATAAGATTTTGAACTATTATTATTAGCATTTGTATTTCCATTAATAACACGAAAAATAAATTGACGTGTTTGTCCATCAATTGAACAAAGTATTCCGAATTGTTCAGTTTCTAAAATAAATGAAAAATAAGCGTCTGTAGAACATATCTATTATATCTACAGTAGGTCTTAACATAATACTATACATCTCGATAAGCATAGAAACACTGATATTGATTATTTAACCAAATTTTAGCTCAATTAGTTCATACTTTTTCAGGGTCGGCGCAAAGCAACCAATATTAACGGATCCTGCAGTGTTGTGAGAAGGCGTAAAAATTGTTTTCTAAGCGAACGGACGGAAAATTTTCGTTTCCACCCGTAAGAAATTTTTCTTAATTGAAAATGGAGGGTCTACCAGGAATGTACCATAGAAAAGGAAAATTTCCGCGAACAGACCTTAGCGCACCCAGGTAGATTCTGCACTCCTGGATGTTACATTCTTGGCACCTTTTCGATGTTGATCATATGATGATTATGACATATCAAGACATCATTACTAGAGATGTATGGAACTAAGTTTTTCTGATGTCAGTGTTTTTTCTACCGGCATCAGTCTCAATGATTTTAAATTTTTTCCGTAGGCCTAGTACAAGTTGTCCTCGGCTCTATGAGAACATGCTAGATTACCATTGGTCTTCATTCTCTCCCTACCCTGTTGTTATAGGCGCAAAACTTCGACTTAAACTCTATGCTCACTATATTTATCTTCAAACAACATGATGTGAGTTCTACAAAAAAGAAAAGACATTCAATAATTTTACCATCAATTGTTAATGATGATGGATGAATATCAAATAAACTTCGAATATCACTTAATTGAATAAGTGCAATATGTTTATGTGTTTTTGATCCTTTCATACCAGGAGTTTTCCACATATTACCACGTAATTTAGTTACCTAATAACAAAATAAAAATATAAAACATATGGTTTTTCGTGTTATTTGATGATTTACTTCAAGACAATCAGAAAAAAGAAAAAGAGTTAAATGTGTTCTTGTTGTTGTTAATTCTTGTGAAAGTTCAATAACATGAAATTTTTCTATATAATCACGATGTGCAGCAAGTAATTCAGGCTAAAATTTAATAAATAAAATAAAAAATTCTTTATTAAAATTGTTTTCTTACTGGACAATTATCAATACTATTAACAATATTAAACATTGATAAATGTTTTTCAGTTTTTCCTCGTTCTTCATTTAATTTTTTTGCTATTTCACGTAATTTATCTAATGAATCAATTAATAATTGATAATCAATATGTGTAATAGATGTATATTTAAGTAAACGTTCTAATAATAATAATATACTTGGTAAACGTTGTATAGGTCGTATCATTAAATCAGCTAAATGTTGTTTACCTAATTCAGTTTTATGTTCACAAATCTATTCAAAATAATTTATTTATTTATTTTTAATCAATGAAAGATAAGTACTTTAAGATAAGCATAAAAACGAGGATTCGTTTTTTCTAATGTATGAATTGCTTCAATTGTTTTATCATAAAATTTTGTATATGGTTGATAAACACGTAAAAGTTCAGCAGACTAAACAATGAAGAAAAAAAAATAAATAAATATTTTTTTCTAAGACTTAAGATAGCTAACATTAGTTAAAAATATTGAACCAATACATTCGTCTTCATTTATAGCTCGATCAAGTTGTTCAGCAATAGATAAATGTAAATGATAGATTTCTTCGATATTACCAAATATTTGTGTACTTTCAACTTTTGTAAGTATAGGACCATTTCGACGATCATCTTTTTCCATTTCTGTTTTGAAAATCTATTAGAAAAAAAAAACAATTGTTCTATATAATTCGTTTAGATAACTTAATAAAAGACATGGATTAAAACAAAAAAAACTTATTGTTCACTTTTTAAATCAAATTCTAATCATACTATATTATTGTAAGATACTAGCTAATCAAATGAAATTTTTTATAACGAATCAAGCCTTGTTAGACTTGATATTTCTATTTAATTTTACTTATTATATAGTTAAGAAAAAATATGATTTGATTGTTGAGAAAATCACTTTTTTTTTCGATATAAGATCAAAACATCATCAGTCCGTATTCAGAGATAGAGACAACGAAAAAATTTCACTATGTAGAAATCTGACAATAAGGATGCTTTCATTGCAATTGATTTGTTTTCCAACCTGTAGGCGCTGGTTAAAGTATAAATATATAGTTGGATAGTCGCTCAAAAAAGAACGCGTTTAAACGCACAGAAATTGGCCTAAAATCAGCAAAAAGTGGACGTTTTTGGAGGTTCCCGACTGTGAGCCAAAAACGCTCATTTTTCGGTCTTTTTGTGCGTTTACACGCATACAAAAAAGAGAAACAAGTTGCTGAGTTTTTCCAGTTCAAGAAACGTACCTGTAATCATGATCGTGCATTCCGAGTATGAAAAAACGACCACTTTTTCTCTTTTTTTTGTATACATGTAAACGCACAAAAAGGTCGAAAAATGGGCGTTTTTGGCTCACAGTCGGGAACCTCCAAAACCGTCCACTTTTTGCTGATTTTAGGCCAATTTCTGTGCGTTGAAGCGTGTTTTCTCAAAAGTTTGTCTGCTTGGATATGAGAGTAGAATACTTAACACATTCTACAACTGACTAGATCCATCGAGTTTATTCTACAAAACTTTTCCACCTGTTTATAGTCAACATAATGAACAGTATAGTATAAAATCATAAGTTTTAAATATTAAAATTCATTTCATTAGTAATTATTCTTTGTTTATGTATATATAAATTTTCTTTTCAAACTATTTAAATTCAAAAATATCAATCTTACTCGAATAATATTTGATAACATAGTAACATAATTACGTTCAGTTTCTCTTAATTCCATTCCAATTAAATATTTATTATCTTTTTTAATATTTTGTTGTTTTTCTACAAAAATAAATAGAAATATTTCTTTTTTTTTGTTAGGGTCAATATTTATTAATTGTAATTTACCTATAATAATATTATCATCTAATAAATTTTCATTCTCATTCGTACTACTATTAAAACGTTTTGAATTTTGTGTATTTTCAATTTGTTCATTTATATGCGAATGTTTATATCGACGTTTTCGTTTAACAGTTGTATTTATTGATGAATCATGTAATGGACTATCACCATGTATTGATGGTGAAAGTAATAATAACGAAGAATCTGGTGTTGTTGTTTGATTACTAGTTAAATTAACAATATACATTGATTCATCAGCTTTACCCATTAAACATAAACATTCCCAAAACCACTAAAAACAAATATTCTATATATTCTTCACAAAATTTTTTTTTCTTCTTATTAACTAATACATACTTGTACATGAACAATATATTGTCGATGTTTACGTGTATATAATGGATATGTCGATATAAATAAGTTTATATCCGAAAGAACGATATGTGTTGCTTCATTCATTTCTTTTGTTATAAATCCACCTAAAACGAAAGAATTTTCATGTAATGCATAACATAGAAATGTTTTAGTTTTTATAAGAAAACTATTTGAGATGATTTATTATGGCTCAGCGCCCATTTTTAGTTTATAGAAGTATTCGGTATGAATCAAATTTTTTTTCGAACAGATTCAAGTTGAACTCGGGCATCGACGATTTCTTTCAATTCTTTTTTTCTTGCTGGTGTTTCTTTTCGTATGCATATAATATACAACCTTGAAAAACAGTGATGCACTTCCTATGAATCTGTATTCGATGTTGTTCTTTTAAATCAAAAAAAAAAAAGTGAAAACCTCGGATTTAAATCTGAGAGTTATGTGTACTTCAAAAAGTGAATTAGGCAGATGAGCCATCCTAGAATGTGTGGACATCAAAATTATCCTGGCAAACCTTTTCTATAAACACTTCAATCCTATTGGCTACTGCTCAACTAATAGAATTTGGGAACGAATATAGATCAGATTTGAACTCTTCGCCCTGATCTATCGTCAGAAAGTCGTTTTTCCTATAACTTGATTTTTATTGGTCACTGCTAAATCAATGCGATTTCGAAGCAAATGGATTACAGATTCGAGTTCTTCGCTCCAGAAAACCTCGAGGTACCATCTCTGTAATAGGAAGATAGAGCTCTATTTATGGATCAATTAGAGCGTGGACACAAACAGAACCAATTTCTGTTTAATAATCTTTGCAATAGATGAGCTAGTCTTCTTGTTTCTTTATATTTTATATACCATTTTGTAGCTCGTGAAATTCTCTATCGAATGGTACATAATAGTTGAAGTTTTATTTGACTATGACAGGAAAAGTTGTTAACGAAAGCGGGAAGGTGTCGATTTGCGCATAGGGAAAAGTGACTATTTTTTGCAATAAATCAGCAATGGCTCGGCCAATCATTCTCGTCTTTGAACTCGACCGAGATATTGTTGAGACTAAACTGTGTAGAAAAATTTCATCGTGATCGGACTCTCCTTTCAAAAGTTATCGTGCAAACGGCCGGCCGGACGGACATACTGACCGATTCTAGAATGTACTCACTTTTTCAGTACACAAAAACATTCAAAATACTTGTTATAGTTCGACCCGAATTGATCATGAAAAGAAGTGTTCAGCTCAATCGAACAAAGCATTTTGACGAACATTGGGGATTATTGTAATCTCAATATCGTATAGAAGACAGCACTCTGAAATTTCAAGTCTATGGCAACTTTTGCTGTACGCATTAATATCTATCTATCCTAAAAGTTTAAAAAATTTCTCATCAACCATTTGAGTTCACAAGGAAATCTTAATAAGACTAGAAAAAGCTTATTTCAAACAATGAATTATACTTAAAGTCGTTTTTCTCGTTAAAAAAAATAATCAAGATACAAATTAGTTTTACCATGTTCATTAGTTAAAGTATGTAAATGTTGTAATTCATCATCATTATTAAAACCGAAAAAATATAAATTAAGATTATGTAATGGTTTAGCACGATATATTCGAATGAGTTCAGAATCAAATGGATTAAATTGACGATTATTTCGTTCATGCCAACAACGTAAAAGCCATTCTTCTGTTAAAATTTCACTTCTTTCCATATTAAATGCTGTCTAGATAGAATTCATAAAAAGTCATTATCACATATATTTAAATAATAAAAAAAAAAAATTATTACGAGATATTTTTCACCAATATTTGCATGTGATATAACATGTGTTACTTGATCACTATAGTCTTTTCGAACAGATCCACCAAGATAATGAACAAAATCACTAAATTCTGTCTAAAATAAAAATATAAATGTAAGAAGAAACAAAAAATATTTTTGTTTAATTTACATGTGTATCTCTTCGAATCCCAACAAAACATATAACAGCTGAAGATAAATGTTGACAATATAAAGGTCGATTTCTTCTTGGTACAGGAATATCCTAAAGAAAATTTAAAAATTCTAATTTTAAAAAACAAAAAAAAACACAATTTTTTTTTTTTACAATTTCTTTTTCTGTACATGATAATACAAGTTCAGAACTAATTGTATAAATATCTTCATTGTCTTTTAAATATTGAAATATACAATCATCAAATGAATCAACAATAAAAATACGTAATTGTCGTTGTGATAGTAAAATTTTTGTTTCAGCTAATGTACGAATAACTTGTCGTTCATCATTAATACATTCATATACATAACGATCTTCAAGTGAAGATAAAAGTCGTTTATTTGAACAAGCAGAACCAATTATACAAAATGTAATTGCTAAAAATAATCAGAAATAAATTTGATGGAAAAACAAAAACCATATATATTTACACCAATCATTAGCATTTGTTGGTGATGTATTTTCACTGTTTTTTTTAAATTTATTACGTTGATGATGAATTTTTGAAGTTAAAGATAATGGAGATATATTTTCTGTGCTCATCGTTTTGTCTTTTATTTAAAAAAACATCTCAAAAAAAAATGAGATGAATGACTAGATTGAAATATAAGAATGATTGAAATGAATAGGCATTATTGTGATGATTTGTTTTCTATTACGATTAGTTAGTTAGTAAAACATTTGTTAATATTGGTGGAACGTTCGATTCGATAAAATATGAAAAATACTAAAATATAGAGGTCACTATTGATCGTAAATGTTAATGCAAATTTGATTGTTAACAAGAGTAATGCAAACGGTTATATAAGATGGGCACTAGTTTACTTTAGATACACTGTTCTCATCTTCATGCAGTGCTGTGTGTGCAAATCATATCTCTTCTGTGTTTAAAGTAAACTAGTATCTTCTCTTTGTCATAGTATTTATGCAAAGTAAAATATTTATTAATCTTTTCTGAATTCTGAAAAATGATTCTCAAGAGGTGAAAAGCGAAATACGGTAGAATCTTGAAGCTTGATGTGGATATATTGGTAAAGAGTACCCATAAACATTCACTCACATCCTTTAAATATTGGCTATGAGCTAGGTTCAATCTGAAAACAATTAAACATTGATTAAAAGAAATACGATTAAAATAAATATTAAAACAGATATATAACATAGTAGAAAAAAAATCAAAAACATCTTGTTCTTATAATTTTGAGCATCATTGTATTTAAGATCAGTTCTTTATTTTCATATTATTCGATTTTTTTGTTTTGGAGTGCGGATGTGGATGTTGGTTCGGCCATGGATATGTGAAGAGCAGACTAGACAAAACGTAAACCACCTACCCACATCCAACAGCGACTAACGGTGTTCAATAATAGAGAAGTGGTATAGATGCAAGACGGACAAGTACTGCATTCCCATCGAAACCTTGTTAGCTATAGTTCACATCTAATTCTACTGATCAACAAATTAAATCGGTTGATCAGCTGTCAAACTTATCCTCCGTAATATAATCATAAAAACTATTCAAATCAGTCTGACGGCGAAATTCTTCGAGCGAATCACGCATAACATTGTCAATATCGAGACAGTGTTCTGACGATGTCAAGTATCCATATTGATACTAGCATTTATAGTGAACTAACTGATCATATGAATTAAAAGCACGTTGAATGATCAGGAAAGAAGCAAGATAGAGCGCTATCGATGTATTACTGGTTCATTGACCGATTTGAAGATTGGATTTTTTTCCAGATTTCTTTTTGTCATGAGTTGTATCATCAAAATGTTCAGTACTGGTCTCTTGAACATCACCTACTACTAAACCAGCAAGAGACCCTTATGTACGATCAAGAATCGTGCAATGGGTACGGATACGGTCTAAATACAGTGATTCGCATTCAATATTTTCTGGTAGTATCCTGTATGAAAGAGTCGGAAAATGAAACGCAGTAAGATGACGATAAATTTAAAGTGAAGGAAAGATACAGATTGTGGTCACCTTTCTTCGGTAATATTAATAATCTAGATTTATACTGATATACGAATTGATCGTCTAAAAGATAAAGAGATCACATACAGTGAAAGCCATTCATAGCTCTTTCTCTGTTGAGCGTAAAAAGAACTATTCTATTCTTTGTAATACAGAATCTATTGTTGAATTCTCGTTGATTATTCAATTGTTCTGTCACAAAGAAACTAGGGTGCATGGCTAATTTAGAATTAGTTTATTTGTGAATATTTTGACGATAGTGCTTACATTCCAAAATATTCATCTAGTGTACAATCATGTCTGCCATTTTGACTCGAACGATCGGTTAAAAGTTTGAAACGATTGTAGGTCTGCTGATATAATGTGTTTTTATTTATCGGACTATGAGTAAGAAACATATTTGTTTCTAGCAGAAAAGATCTACAGAATAGGATTACGTTCCCATAAAAAAATACAATACAACTGTTCTATACGTACTTCGAATAGATATTAGAACTGTTCAAAGTTTAACTAGTCGAAAAATGAATCTCATCTGAACGTCAATGTATAATAGAACACAAGTAAAATAATGATGTTAAAGAATATCAAATTAACTAAAATCAAGATTCGACAATCTGATTTTACCTAGTACCTTTAACAACTAATTTTACGAACAACGTCAAGTTAATGCAACTATAAAGAGTATGAAAAGAGAAAAGAAAGCTGAATCCATTTCAATCGACTTCTAATGGCTCATGAAAAAATGATGTTATTTTTTTCAAATCGCTATTGTATGAAAGACAGCATTTTTTCATCCATACATGTCCTTTTTGCGATGGAAAGAACATTTGATTATCCAAAACTCATAAACACTTTGTTCTTACCAAACAACGAACCTTGCTACTTATCAGTATTGCTTTTTTCTACTGTTATCATAATTGTTTACGATAGAATAAGAGAGAAATCATCGAAAAAAGAAAGACATCCATTCAAACCGAGAAGCCACTGAATCACTGCATCGTCGATTAAGAAAAATGCAAAGATTATCCATTATTCCCTTAGCTTACTTTGCAATGCTATAGACAGAAGATCATACGATTGAAAGGAAACAAAAACCATGCTCTTGAGGATATGAATATGTCTGCTATAGAATCAATACCAACGTATACACCCACTCGCACTCACACTCTTGAAATTCATTATATGACCTTCAGAACTTTCTTTTTTGTATAATATCTAACCTAACCGAATCAATTCGAATATTTTGAAAATTGAGTACAAATGTAGATAGATTCTTTTCACTATCCACATAAAAATCCATTTAAATTTAAAGATTTAATGAAAAAAGATGATTCCTTATTGACTGTTTAAAAAAATATGCAATAGGCATTTTTAATGAAGCCTCATGTGTTCTTTGACGTTGATTGCTTCATAACGAAGCTTGTCACGACTGAATGGACTACATCTACTTTCACGAAATCGTTAAATTTACACTGAATGTGCTGACAATGATACATAAGATTATTTATGACTAGATAACAACTTCTTTTTACATCAACATCGTTCGTTTGCGATTAACACATCTCTTCTCTTTTTGTGTTTCTATGATGCTATCGAGTGCGATGCGCGAAAAGAATAAAGACACAGTGCTATGAATACAGTGTTGGATTTCTCTATGTAGAGAACGATTGATAAGAAGAGTATTGTAATCATCTTATCAACTACGCAAGCACATGTATTCATGATAATAGTAAAATTATATTAGTCTATTATTATCACAATCACAACATTGATGATGGCACCTACAAGCCAACCGGTATGGTTCTTTGTTTTCGTATTCGCGAACACATTAATCGTCACTCAATGAGGGCTGTCAAAGATCCTGAAAATGTCTACGTTACCTGATGTCCGTTAGTGAACAGACGGGTTTTAGTAGTCAGCCAAAAGAACATCTAGTTTATGTCGCGCTCTGATAATTTTACCCCATATTGCTATTTCTCAGTGGTTTTTTCCTTAGAGAACTTTCGATCATTTTACTATGTTCATGAGTCATTTTCTGTAATTCGAAGGACTTTTCTCTTTTCAATGGACTATCATTAGTTTTCGTAATAGGCCTTTTCTATATCCTTAAAAAAGATAGAAAAAAAAACCTATGACCATAGGTCTAAAAAAATGTTTGCCTTCACGTTTCTTAGATCGTTATGCACCTATATAAAGATATATTTCAACCTAAGAGCAAAACATCTTCAATATAACGGCAAAGTTTGCTAAAAGAAAGAATTATTTGCTACTGAAGTAGTCATATTTAGCTTTTTTTAATAACTATTAATATCTGTGATATTTCATGACGTATGTAAAGTTGTACATATCCTTAGTGGAACTTAGGTATAGTGCACATTTTGTGGACTTTTGATACTGCTGCATTCAACATATGTGTTAACAGTGCCGACCACTAAACAATGATTATTTCTCAAGTTTGCCAACTTTCAGAAAATTTTTCATTAGAAAACCGATTTTGTTCGCCGTTGTACTTTATAGCGTAGTAGCTCGAAAATTTCTGAATCGATTGACAAAATTATATTTCAAAAACTTTTCGAAACTCAAAATGAGCAATCTAAATTCTTAAGTAATCCTAAGATATCAAATGAGTAGCTTAATCGAGTTGTAAAATAAATTTTAAATGAGAAAGAATCGTAAGCGAACTTGATTTCTCATAGAAGATTCTTGATCTCATTTTTTTGTCTCGTACATAGGTTCGATCACGACCACCATTGTTATTGTGTATTTTTGTCATATTTGTGCTTTACCTACTACAAGGTCTTACCTTGGGGTTAGTTTATTCTGTGCCAGTCTATTTGGCTTCTTTTGGTGCCACATGGAAGCAACAAGGCACATTATCTTTCGTCATGTATCCATTCAGTTTGAAACTACTATGGGCTCCGATGATCGATGCCTTCTACATTCGTCGGTTGGGTCGACGACAAACTTGGTTACTACCTATTTTAATTCTGATCGGTTTGATATTGATAATTCTTTCCTTTCATATTGACTTGTTGCTTGTTCAACTTCGTATTATCGAGCTGACCATCATCTTCTTTTGTACCATCTTTCTCACAGCTACACAAGACATTTGCGTCGACGGATGGGCACTGACTCTGTTTGCTGGTCCGAACATCATCTGGCAGTCAGTTTCACAGGGGATAGGACAACAGATCGGTGGTTTTCTTGGCTCGTCAATTCTCCTTACATTCGAATCAGCCAATATGACTAACCTATTGCTTCGTCAGCCATTGAGCATTGCTACTCAGCCGTATGGACTCTTTACTCTGGCTCATTTCGTACGATTCTGGGGTGTAGCTAATCTATTGGTGGCATTTGCTATTTTAGTTCTCTTTCGAGAACAACAAAATACCAATGCAAATGATCATAATCAAAATGAAGATCGCTTGAGTTTGCTTAGCACATATTTGTCGATTGTTAGATTATTCAAGAAGAGGTGCTTTCGTCAGCTTAGCTATATACTTATCAGTTGGCATATAGGCCATATAGCCACTTCGTCTATGACTAATCTCACATTGATCAGGTTAGTGAATAATAGTTTTTGATGGAAGCTAGAATCAGAATTTCACTTCACAACAAGCGCAAAATTTCCCATTTATTCTTTTCGAGCAATCATTTGGCATAGTATGGAACTTTTTCAGAAACACAGTAAATTAGTGCATGTTGAAATGAATCAAGAGATAAAATTCAAATCCTTGTTCAGAAATCGCTTAGGTCACATGCTCTTGCAGTAGACTCATTGACTTTTATCACACTTTGACTCGATGGAGTAAATATTCTTCTCAGTTACACAAGAATATACGCATTTGCATGTGTTTCACACTTGCTGTGAAAACAAGTAAACAACCGAATAAATCTGCTCATATGTTTTTCTTCATTTTTGTTTTAAGCCGTGGCTTGATCACAAGAGATAAATTGGGTCTGATTATGATGCCTCTTATGCTAGTGAAAACTAGCGTACCTCTTCTTCTCACGCAAACTTCTCGACCAATGATCTTCATCGTTCGATCGTATATTCCTCGACTCATTTTATGTGCGTTCATCGCTATATTTATTTCCTTTGACTATCGTCTATATTCGTATCCGAGCATCTTCTATTTTCTCCTCTTTGTTCTTTTCGGTCTCAATGATGTTATTATCTATGCGCAATTCACAGCAACTGGTGGATTCTTTGCTCAGATCAGCGATGAACGTATCGGTGGCACATATTACACATTACTCGCATCTCTAACCAATGTTGGTTATGCTGTGCCCTCCAGTCTCGTGCTCTATACTGCCAATTGGTTTCACAAAGAACAGGCCTATTTCATTGAGGTAGGTATTTGTCTTATGTTAGGCTTAGTTTGGTTTACGATAGCATGGCGAACTATGCACGAATTACAAGCATTACCCGTTGATGATTGGCATGTGAAGATTTATAAACAAACACTCAATGAAAAGCATCATGATTATAAGATAACAACAATTGACAAAAACACACAAGAATCGTCTACTATCTATACCAACATAGAATGTTTACATTGGCTGTAGATGAATGCATTGATGATTTTCTTAATTTTTTTAATATGAAACTCAAAACATTTATATTGAATAGAATATTATCTTTCTCCATTGTCCGTATCCTCATATTCAATTCATTGATCATGTTTACATGTCTAAAATGATACAAGTAGAAGGTGATAATAAACTGCTGTTCATGAAACAGCTTATATCACAAACGTACACTTTCTAAGATACAAGAGTTGCATGAGCACAGTAACAATCCTCATTATTATTTTGATTTATTCACATAACAAAATTTCCGCCACAGTTTTGATTTTCTCTTTATTACAGCATTTGTGCAAAGTAAAATGTTTGTTATTCTTTTCTGAATTCTGAGGAATGATTCTCAAGAGGTGAAAAGCGAAATACGGTAGAATCTTGAAGCTTGATGTGAATATATTGCTAAAGTGTACCTATGAACATCCACTCACATCCTTTAAACATCGTCTATAAGCTAGGCCCAATCTGAAAACAAGTAAACATTCATTAAAATAAATACGATTAAAACAAATATTAAAACAGAAGGAAAAAAACAAAAATTTTTAATATTAAATAACAAAATTTATCTCATAATTTCAGTATTCGTGACTAATCGTGACCAACTTCTAGTCATAGCGGTTATGTTGGACGCTAAGCCTGACTGTATGTTAAGTAAAACTATATCGAGTTTTCGAATGAAAGAATCGATTAGAACTTTTGGTCACCCATACCAAAACAAGTCGGAATAGGCCGAAATTAGTTCGGTCAACGCATTATCCATATTACGGTACTAATTTTATATCTACTTACTCTCAAGTTTTCAATTTCATTATACAAATACTTCAATTCTACTCTCTTAAATGTCAAATATTTATCACTTAATCAATTCAATAAATCTACTCATCGATATCGACTCTATATCTGTCTCATAATTATATTTCTGCTATATGTACAGTATTTATAAAGAATTTTTTGTCCTCTTTCGACTCATCATAATCAATTACTCAGTACAATCAAATAATCAATAAGAAACAAACTGAAGAAACTTCAATTGCCGTGCAGTTGTAGATTTCACTTGTTATTGTGTTATATGATACTCTTTGCTTGTTTGGTCAAAGGGTTGCTTTGTAATTGTGATAAGATAACAAAATTTTACCTTTCTTTTCTGCCTTTTTTTGAATTCTTTCAAGTCTGTACTTTACTGATAACAACTGCACGTAGTAAAAAATAAAAAAAACTGAAAATGAACAGGAGAAAATGAGTCATTTCATATAAGAAAGAAATTTGTCTTTGTCCCATAAAATTCATTTCAAATAGGGTGCACATATTCATATTCATTTATGTGAGGTAGTTAAGGGTGTGAGTGTGGATGTGCGTGTTAGTATTGTTAGAAATGCCTTCACATCCACACTTCACGTCCATACCATACGCCCCACACTCACACTCTAGGCGCGATTTATGGTGTCCTTAACTGTTGGCAAAATAAAACAGACTTGCTTCTATTATTATGCAACTGTTTTCTCAGTTGAGCATAGAGAAAATTGATAAACGAACTATTATTGACATTCTTTTAAAAGCAACAAGAGAAATCGTCGAGATAAACAAGTAATGACACAAACTGCTTCAATTTTTTTCAAAATTCCAACAATAGCAGAAATCACTCAGAAGATGTTTCTACTCATGAAGCAGCTAGCTAAGAACACATTACCAACATTGTCGAAAATTTCTTGAATGCTGTTGAAACGAAACAAACTGTAACAAAAACTCAACAAAGCAAGACAAGATTAATGCATATAGTTTATTCACCAAGCAATCCTTCGAAGAATTAGAATCATCTATTGGAAAATACAATTTGTACTATTTTCAAATTCAGCAGAGAAAATAAATTCTTATCTAAGATCAAGTTCTTTTGGGAATATTTAACAACGACTTATATAATGTTTTGTGACAGACAAGTGTTGATTGAGTAATGAAACGAAAGAATGCTGAACAAACTGAGTTTTCAAAAAGTTCTGCTTGTACGGTACAGATTAGGATAAAGATAAGTTCTGTAATACGGAAAGAAAGATAAAATAACTCTTCGTTCTACTTCTCGATGGTTATATGTACAATAGAATGGGTGACGAATATTAACTATTGGTAGATCCTGAGAAATATTAATGTCTCATTAAGAAGAGTCATTAACTTCGAATTAGGGAACGATCCCAACATCTCCTGATGACCGACCAGTTGCTTTACTATGGAAGTAAAGGTTCAATTACGATAGTAACACAAGAGTCAAAATAATAACAATCGTTTTACTTCTCCACGAAGACACATACAATATCAAAATAAATGCATTCACATGAAAAAAAAATATAGAACATATTTTTCAGACATATTAGATTTTTATAAAGGTTTTTGAGTATTTGTAGTTTATTTTTTGATATATTCATGAATACAGAAGTATTGATAAGTATACGCGAAAGAAAAAGAGAAAAAGTAGAACACAGAAGAAAATGATGACACAAAGAGCAATCAATCTCAGCGATAAGTGTGTCATATCAGTGAATCTATCACAAATAACCGTATCCACATTGTGTACAATATTGTGCATTAAATATACTTTTTTGATTATTACAATTTGGACAATTGCTAAAGGTTGCTTTTGAAAATGAGTCAATAACTTTATAATAGGATGGTGGTGGAGGAGTAGCTGGAGCAATTGCATATTGAGAGTATTGTTCGTTATCTAATACTATTGTGGCTTGTTCGAAATCTGGCGCAAGCACAGAAGTAACTGAAGTCTCAGCAGGTGGATCCAATCGAATTGATCTCCAATTAATTGGTTCACATATAGAAGATACTGTTGTTGATGCTACTCTCTGCTCTCGAAGACCAAATTCTATAGTCAACTAAGAAAAGATACTCTAGTGCTTCTGAAGAACATAAACAGCCTCGAGTTCGTAGTAAAGGTTTTGAACGTAGTAAAAAGCTCACTCAGTAAATGCATACTTACTTTCAATCTTTTGCTTGACGCTCTATTGCTTTTCTTTTCTATGATCCATATAGTATAGGCTATTTGATCACTAATCATAAATTCTTCATCTGCAATTGTTTGTATATCAGATTGTAATATTCTGAAACGTTTCGCATCTCTCTTATCAATTCGATTAGCACTAACAACGCTAAAGATAGGGCCACCGATAGGCGCAACCATAAATACCCCCCTGTAACAAAATACGAAGAAACATTGCGTTAGTAAAATATTATAATTATCTTAGAGTTTAGTCATCTGACTGAGTTCTAAGTTTGACTATAGCATAAGGATGAATTGTATACTAATTGTACAACTGTATCATCAGCGATTAAATTGTACATATTTCCTGTTCGTATCAATAAATGATTTGAAAATTTTACATAATACTCTTAGTAGTGTCATCTTCTGAAATTCAAGCAATCTACATTACATTCGCGTTCTCTTTATTAAAATCAACTAGTAAAAAAAGAACAGAAGTAATCAACGGCTGTCATGTCAAAATTTGAATAGTTCAATAAAATGGAATTCAACATAAAATTCTTCTATATATCATTCGATTCATCATCGGCACGCTCATCTAATGTATTTCTTTCTTGCACATAATATTTTTGATTAATTATCTTCACTTCTACGTTCAAATATAAGTCGTTCGATAGATCTAACCAAATTACATCTACTAATCTTTTGAATACCGGTATTCTGAATAAAAGGGACTCTTCAAATTTCTTAAATGCTCAATAGCTCGCGAATGCGAAATGATATCAAAGTACAACTTTCTGTATTACATAGAAGAGACTTCGATGCATATATCTAGATAAGAGTTATAATTCTAATGAGGTCACTCCGGTAATAACTCTGATGAACTTTTGGTATACCATGTATATTGTAAAAAGGAGGAGCGAGAATACTGATTTTTTTATGGACCTCAAAATATTTCGGTTGTTCATGTTGGAATCGAGCTGAAAGTGACACCTAGTAATATTCTGAAGATTGATTTTACAACAGTTCTCGTTCTAATTTTGTCTCACACCTGTATTTCTCACGGGAATGAAAAAAATATTTTATCGTCGTTCCGTTGAGAACTACGAACATGGGCAAAAAATGACCTTAAAGATTTTTTAAAATGCTTTTATGAAGATATCCACAATGTACACTACTCATTTTAAATATAAAATCTCGCAGAAACTTCGTCCACCAGTTGGTACTCAAAAGTTTAGTGTATAATTTGTTTCATTTTGTTAGAAATTACAAAATATTTTTGACGAATTCTCATGAAATTGAATATACACAATTTTTATTTTCAATCGTCAGTCTTATTTTTAAGCACAGTTGTAAGAAAAGTACGTTTTGTTATGTATTTTTAAACATGCGCTACCAAGATATTAGTCTAATATTTTTTATATGCAAACTATTGTTTTTTTTATTGTAATTGTGCAATTGGTATGCCATTCATTCACATATATATGTATCTATAACCACCTATTTAAAATACTTTTCTTTTTTCTAAGAAATACTTACAGACATATTATAAATATAGCGACGTTCCTCATTGCCAATACTGCTATTATCCAAAGGGCAAAAAGGGTAATTGTGACACTTAGAATACTTCCCATTATTACGATGCCAATGTGACACAATGTTTTCATTGAAGTTTTGAAGTTTCGAGTTCGCTGATTAATGTTCGATATTATACGTAAATATTGATCTCTTGGTATATAACCATTTAATTGGTCATCTGGATAGGAGGAAGCATCGACATTAAATATGCCATACTTATCGGATATAACTAAAAAGATTTCGAAAAACACTAATTTTGGTTTATTAAATGATAAAAAGTATTAATTTACTTGTAAATTTGATTGCTGGCATATTATATAGAATTCTTGATTCATTGATGATATAAATAGAAAAGAAACATTATGATATAATAGAAAAAGAAAAGAGTTACTGCAATCCTGCAATGATAATGTTTTAGAAATATAGAACAGAAAGATACATAATGTGTTGCATGTATTCTTTGAGTACTAACAAACAGAAAGAAAAAAAGAATTGGTGGAGGACATCTTTGATAATATTATTGATGTTTGTACACTTAGTTGTACAACAATGCTATTTTTTCGTTAGAAATTGAAAATCAAACAACTATGCTATTTATAGAAGAACACATTACGAAGGTTTTCGTATTTCAAAGACTTACTCATTCGAAGTTTATTGCACGGATTTGACTAGTACTCCCGAAATAAATAAGCTACTGTCATCGTTCTTAATATCTGCGTCTTCTTATTTTTCGCAACATCATCTTGCGTAATACTATTCGCATACTAGAAAATGTGTATCTAGTTTCTGATCGATTCATTCAGAATACATTCTATTTCAATTAATAATATATTCTTGATCTGCAATACTCTGTATATTACATTGCATTTTTATGAAAATTTTCTTAAAGACTTCAATCTTTTCCTTTCTCGTTATGTTGCTGACACCTGAAAATCGAAGGATTCCATCACTATAATCGTCTTACATTATAACAAATGTTTAGTATGAGCTATTATTAGAATTTAGGGAACGCATAAGGATTTGAGAAAGTTTTTTAATAGATTAAATGTCAGGAACAAAACTAAGGTATATTTCTTGAAGAATCAGCAAAATTTGAGCTGCCCAAACAGCCAAGAATTTTCAAAAGCACATTTAAACGCACTATTTTCGACTCTTGTTTGAACATTTTCATGCAGCTTTTGATGTTTCTTGAATGCGCTTGAAGATGTTGAAACGAAAACTGTGATTAGTGCCTTAAAATATGTTTTTGGAAAGTCTTATCTTCCCATATGTTAATAAGACTAATACTTAAAAAGCGGAGGAAATAATCTGTGAGTCAAAAAAAAAAAATAAACGTTTCATATTTTGTTGATATCTTGTAGAGTTTCATCAATTCCACTTAAATTATTTTTCAAAAGATTCATTGTATCCTTTTCTATAAATCAGAAGATTAGTCTTAATGAACATGATCTCATTCATTTTCAAAGCATAACCTATATGCATAGAACTATCATGGTTAATTGTTTATGAAGCACTTAAAAAAAGTGTCAAGAATGAAAATTTTTGATACTAATTAGTTCTATGCTTCTAAGTAATGGTAAAAATTATAGACGAGGTTACATTCGTTAAATAAAATATTTCGCTTTGTTAAGAATTACATGTTGATTCTTTTTAAAAATATATTAAGTCGAACAAGAGAAAGTCTCTAAGCGTGTACCTGACATTTGAACAAAAATGAGATGGGTTTGACAAGTGAAGTGCTCTTGCTATGATGTTAGTAGCACTCCTATATCTTCAGTTATCAAAGTCACGAGTACATTATGCTGATAGTTCAACACTCGTCTTTTGATTAACTGAATATGATGTATAGGATTGGTAAAAAAAGCAAGCAAACTAGTCTTGAAATATGTGGATATCTTCAATCAATTAAGACTAATTAAAATTACGAATAAGTTTGAGATGAAGCCAGCAAAGCGATTAAAGGAGACTACTAACTATCAAACGTTTGTCAATTGATCGTTCAAAAGATAGCTTGATCATTAGGATCGATTTCAAGTCTATTTCAATTATGTCTAATGCACAGATCATCTTAACGATATGTGTGCATCTTTTAATAAACTTATTTCTGAGTTTAATATTATTCTGATAAGTTACTCACAAAAACGAAATGAACAAAAGCCAATAAACGAAGAAAGTTGTGTTGAGTTGCCGCTGAATAGATCTGATGTTATGTAGGCAACACTGCTCGCTTGATTTGGCGAATGATGCGTATTTTTTTACTTTTACAGTAAAGCGAATTGTTTCTTTTCTCACTGCTCTTTATTTTCTGTAGTTCACCTACTTTTTCTTTGATTTTTTTTTTCATTACACATTCTCTCGCCCACGTATTTATACAAGATGCACACATTGCGCACGAAACGATTTGCCTGAGTGATTTACTTACAGTGAATATTGCATGTGAAATAACATCAGAATTATTCATACTGCAAAAGATATCGAAATGCAAAGAGTCATAAAAAATGAATCAGATTATTTTTGTTGTGGAACACGTAATATGTTAGTCATGTATTAATATATACTAATAACGTACCTCAAAGCAAAAAAATTCGATAAATATTTTCATACGCAATTGATATAGAGTTATTACAATCGTAAATACTCTTCTTTCTAGGCTTCGAACATTTTTTTTCTTTAAAAAATTTCTAATTTAAGAATATCGGAAAATCAGCAGGATTGAATCCTTAATAATGACAGTATATCATGTAGTGAAATTTGTAAATGTAGACATGTTTTGTTTATTTAATATATGTATATATGGAAAAGAGAAATAGAGAGGAACTTTTCGATCTTTAAACGACGATTGTTAACCTTATGATAATGGTACAAAAAAGGAAAACGAAAAATATGATAATGGAAAAACTAATATGAATGTACAGGGTGGTAAATAATATTATTCAAGGGGGCTAGCGCTTTAATTTCAAATAGAAGACATAATGAATTTTATATCAAATGAAAGCTCGTCAAAAATGGGGTCCATTGATACTAAATAGTGTGGATCATGAACACCTTTTAATGTGAAACTTAAGAAGTATTTACAAATTTGATACTTTTTAGGGACTGGCAAACTAAGATGGCATTAATTGAAAAATGGAGTAAAATGTTTTTCTTGAACATTTTTACATGGTTCGATAGAGCTCGTCGAGCTCTACAAAGCTGTATATATATCAAATTTTTTAAGTCAGATTTTTGCGATAAAAAATTCAAAAAAGTAGTTGGAAAATGTTAAAAAGCGTTTAAAAAAAATCATACTTTGAGATGGAAGATAAACACTCGGTTTTTCAATAAAATTAGCTGTTTTTTATTGTTTTTACTTCTCAAACCCTCTCGAAATATACTCATTGGATTCAGTTTTTCACGCTGCGTCGAATGAATATACTTTGAGAGGGTTTAAGAAGTAAAAACAATAAAAAACAGCTAATTTTATTGAAAAACCGAGTGTTTCTCTTCCATCTCAAAGTATGATTTTTTTTAAACGCTTTTTAACATTTTTGAACTAGTTTTTTGAATTTTTTATCGCAACAATCTGACTTAAAAAATTTCATATATATACAGTTTTGTAGAGCTCGACGAGCTCTATCGAACCATGTAAAAATGTTCAAGAAAAACATTTTACTCCATTTTTCAATTAATGCCATCTTAGTTTTCCAGTCCCAAAAAAGTATCAAATTTCTAAATACTTCTTAAGTTTGACATTAAAAGGTGTTCATGATCCACACTATTTAGTATCAATGAACCCCATTTTTGACGAGCTTTCATTTGATATAAAATTCATTATGTCTTCTATTTGAAATTAAAGCGCTAGCCCCCTAGAATAATATTATTTACCACCCTGTATATTCAACATCATAGACAGATAACATCATTGTAATATTTATAACATCATAATCAAAAATAATGACTTTGAATCAACTGTAATTAACAATACTTAAAAATACAGTAATACTGTGTATTAATATCAATATATAATAATAATATCATGAACATAATGATAGCATCATAATTAATCAGGTGATGATAATAACAATAAATGTAATAAGATTCATAAATTTTGTATGATAGATTTTGATTTTTGTCATGATTGGATGCAAATGTCAACCATCGAGCTTTTTTAATGAGATTCTGGTGAAGAAAAGATCGATGGTCTATATTGTTAAGAATAAAATAAAACTAAAAAGTCACGTTGTGAATAGTTTGAAAGTGATCTTACTAGAGTGGATTAATAGTTGAAATAGCATCGTGAAAACTGAGACTTTATGTTTCTAGGAAATAGTGGTGGATGTTTGGGAGCTAGTTCAGGAGTGATGATGAATGGATATAGATTATACGAATATGTAATCATGGTTTTTCATCAAAGACACAGCAGGAAATAGGTTTTTTTATTTGTTTATAACTTTCGCGGAAAAAGATTCGTTGTTGTGTCTAAATGAAACAGATCTTTTGTCACTTATTCGGAAATGAGTTGAAATAAAACCGATTTTATTCATACGGCTAGTCTGTAGAATTTGTAAGCAATTATATGGAGGATTATAAATTATTGGTTGTTTGAGCATATGAATTAGTATAGTATAGCTTTCTCTATAAAAGAAGATAGACACTGCATGCCTCTAATAAGAATTGTGTTGGAAGTACTATTGATGATATTTAGCATTGTTGTGTCTTTTTTAACGATATTATCAGGGTGTGGGTGAGTGTGAGTGTGGATGAAGATCTTCTTCAAAATCATAATCATACCCACGCACACACACATTCAGACGTACACCAACACCATTCTTTTCATTTTTCTTGAGAGAAACTTATCACTGTTGTCTTGTCGTCTGCCACACGATTGAATTCTAGTTTTCTTTAGTCGTCCCATTCGATACGAAATAAAGCATTTATACACTCACACTTAGATGTTTATCTGTTAACTAGAATCGTTTCGAGAATGAAAAGTCCTGATATTGAATCGTACACAACGATATTTTACAAAGATATAAGGTAGAACTCGAAATGCTTGTCTTGTAGTAGCTCGAGATGTTTATTCATACTGATAAAATTAGGATGTTGGTGTGAATCCTTTATTGTCTTATATCGATCCACACTCATGTCCAAATTAAAAATGATCAATTTTGAAACACATGTTTCATATAAAGCATAGAATATTGTTATATGGCAAAGCAATCCATAAAAAAAACAATTGATTGTTTATGTTAATCAATTGTTGTCGTCCATTCGATCGTTTGACTAAGTTGAGCAAGCATATCCATATCAAGACCGTACACAACCAAAATCTAGAAATAAAACCAGACGAATAATTGATCCGTATTCATCAAAATGCATTCGCTATTCCTAGAAGTTCTATTTTAGTAATGTGGCATACGATGTAGGTCATCAGCGTAGTCAATCTAGTATTTTATTTTGGAATCATCAAGACTTTCATGCTAGGTGTTGAATAATTTCATATCGGTCCAAAAAACGGAAATCACTCAAACCGAACTCCATGAAGTAAACGAACATTGGCTTCAATCAAGTAGCTCGTGTTCCTTAGCGAATGATAGAGCACTTATGTAGGGTGTGATCAAACTTCGCTGTGAATTTATCGTTCACTGAATACAAAATCGCGCGAATTTTTTCTTATAAGACATAAAAACGCAAATCTTTTTCCACTTCATTCGCCTTAGATTAACTATTCTTTAAACTATTGACAGTTGACGAACTGTACAATCAGTCTGTCATTTTTTTAAGGTCAAGGACTCATCATAATACAGAAAGAAATCGGCATAACTGAGTCCCTTTCGACTTCATATAGGGGTCAGGATGAACAGGATTATTTTCTTTGTGTAATTTCAATCTCACTCTTCAAAAATATTTTGAGGATAGTTAAATGAATGATAGCATCTCACATCTTTGGCAGATAACCCAGAATACATGAGCCATTTATACACAAGATTTTTTTTTTTGGATATTAATAATCATGTGAAAATATTTCAAATAATTCCTTTTGATAAAGAATTTAATTCCCTATTTGATGTGGCCTTGGAAATAGAAACAATTTGTGTAACCTGTATGCAATATAAAAAATGCAAAAAGCTTTCAGTTTTACATCGCAAGATTTAGAACTTTGTGTTTTGTATACCTGTCATCTTGATTAAATAAAAAGTAATTTCTTTCTCTAGGTAGAAGAGTTCAGAACTTTAACGGTTTTTGTATTTTTGATGGGGCGCACACTAAATACAGCATGTTTCTGTATGAAATATCATATTTTGTAGAGAATCAGATTTATTTATTGAATGAAACTATTTCGAATATTTTATACGATCGTTAATACTCAAAAAAAAAATATGGACCAAAGAATCATCGAAAAAATATTTAGAGTTTTTCAAAATCATGTATATGTATTTCAAGTGGTTTTTCGATATCATAGTATTTTACAGTAAACAAGTAACAATTTTTTAAATAACCAATCAATAAATATATGAAATATTATGCTCTTGAGTTTAATGAGCAGTCATAAATACTCAAGGAGAAACTGTCAGCTAGAAGAACATACTTGATCAGGAATATTGTAGGAAAAGTCCTTGTGATCCTTTCCGTTGACAGTCACACTCGTTACTGTTTTATTAACACCGAGAACACGAATAAATTCTAAACGCATTGGTGAATCTTTGTAATTTGCTACGATTGCATTGATAGTCAGTTTATTCTAAGCAATAATGAACTTTGAATACAGGCAATTTGTCTTTCAATCATTCTACTCACTGAAATGAGTGAAAATTCGAAGTAATTGTAGGTTCTTGTCTCGATCGAATCTTAATAAAAACAAAAGAAAAAAAAATGAGTATGATTGATTTTGTTACTAGAAAATGTGCTCACCAATGGAGTCACCATCATCCCAAAATAAATTTCCACTTGCATTTCCCAAGGCTGATTGAGCAACAAGTAGAGTAAATGGATTTCCACGACTGACCATCAGATTAGCTCCAGGCATTTGCATAGGTATAATAAAACCACCTCGAACATGAACATTAATCTTTTCTAAAGGAGCATCAAGATCAGTAAATACACCGACAACTTTAACTTTGACACCCGACGAAAATTGATACCAAACATCTTCTGGAATATAAACATTCACTGTAGTTGCTTCCTAGAAAGATTCGAGAATATTAATAAAAAAGGAAAATAAAGTATAGCCTTTGCATTAAAATTTACTGAAACAAGATTTGGTGAGACGAGAATAGCACGACCGATGAGGAATTGTCGATCAATACCTAGTGTTTTGTTGTCATTGAAAAATCTGATAGAATCGCATAGTTAGAAAAAGCATTAAAAAGTCATTAATATCGTACTCGAAATGAAGTGGCTGCAACAGAGTTTCTGATGCTATTGCTGCTCGATAATGAAGTGTGTACCAGAATGGAATCAGTGAATATCGCGTTATCAATGCTTGTTTCATAATCTGTTGAGCTGTCCAAGAAAATGCAGCTGGATCTTGATCCTAATTGTTTTATATAGAAATCAATCAACAATGTTATTCTCATCGAGCATATGCCTTCTGAGCACCATTGTGATTTCTCATGAAAGGATAGAATGCACCCAATTGCATCCATCGTGTACATAATTCTTCAGTTGTATCATCTCGAAAGCCACAAATATCAGCACCGACATTGGGCATTCCAAACATATTAAAACTAAGAATGTCTGGAACATTGAGAAAAAATAAACATTAGTATCTGTTTCTATTCAAATGTATGGCAAAAATTTTATTCAGGTAGATGCGTTTTCTAAATATGATTTTGTTCACGTTTAGAACCTATTGACAATACTTTTATCGAAAGTTTTTCTAGACTCCAAAAGTGTCTAACATTTTATTTCCATTGATGTAAGGAACGAAGCAGCAAAATATGCCCCGTATTTTTTTTTTTTGGATCGATGTGAAATAAATTGAAGATCCACGTCGACGTCTTCGAGAAACGAAGCAAAGAGCATTTTACAATATAAGACGATAAAACACTATTGAGCTTTATTTTGACTAAAGCAAAGTATTCGTCTAGTCAGTATGTTTGTATATCTCTATGTTATAATATTTTGCACTGCGGTTAGCTCATAGTTTCTAAGATTGCATGAATAGAAAATCAATTAGAATCATACACACCCGAAATTGAAAAATACATATCTTTATATGTTGCGCTATTATCACCCGTCCAATGAGCGGTATATTGACCTGAGCCAGCAAAGGACGAACGAGACAAAACAAAAGATCGTTTACGACGAATTTCTTTTAGTGCACTAGAAAATATCTTAAGTCATTGTTTTTTTTTCAAAAGTGCACAGTCAAATATTTACAGATTTGTTGCTTTTGCTTCGAAATAGCCATACATATTGTGCAAATTATAGTGGGAAGAAAGTGCATGCTGTGCCGATGGACAGAGTGTTTTTGCACTGAGTGTTGTACCAAGTACATCTTTGAAAATGCTGTATAATTCATAGTCTGATTTGTTTCAAAAAGATTTACGTGGAATAAATGGAGGATTATCTAATGAATTATTCGTACAACCATCATGAGAACCGTCGATAAAATTTGATGGTTCATTCATATCCTAGAAAGATATTTCAATACATTGTTTTATTTCACGACATATTTACATACAATCCAAATACCATCGAACGGAATCGTATCATGAAATGTAGCAGCAATGTTTGTCCACCATTCAATAGTGCTCGCATTTGTAAAGTCTGGAAAGACTGTTAATCCTAGACATCAAATGATGATGAAGATTAATCAAGAACGTTCAACAACGGCTTTTACCTGGCCAAACCTAAAATACAAATACTTGAATTAAGATCTTGTTGAATCGATATGAATTAAAGGATTACTTCTCCAGTAATTGGTTCAGTTGAATTGAATTTAGTCATGAAAATTGCTCTTTTCAAACCCTCATCATATGGTGGATAGGTTCCAGATGGTTGTGTTGAACTGATACCGCAATCAATGATATTGACATAATGTTTACCTTCAGACTGTAAAGAATGAACAAGATCTGGTAGACCATTGAAGTTCTTTTGATCATAGGTAAAATCAAGATGAGAGGACATTGCATCAATATCAGTCCATTGAACATCATATGGAAATTCGGCATCATGCATTCGCTAAAGACATTAATGTATGAAATAAACAACTGTTTGTTTTCATTTTAAAGAGAATACTTGAATAACGGCTCGTAAATTATCGATATTATTATAACCATAACGACACAAATGAAAACCAAGAGACCAATAGGGTGGCATTGTCGGTTTCTAGAATTCATTCAAATAAACGAAATCAATCATTTTACTACTATTATTTTACTCCGATCACATCCCAATATTGTTGTATGACGTCTTGTGTTGTAGGTCCAGTAAACAAGTACAAATCAATGATGCCTCCAATCGTTGTATAACTAATGGCGGGTAATGGTTGAAGATCGATATCCATCGCATTCGAATTGAGAAAAAATTGTCCATGGAAATTAGTCAACATATTGGTTTTCATTTCCACATTGATGTGAAATGGGTGAACACCTGATGATAAACATCCATTCAATATGCATTGTCAAATACTACTCACTAAGGAAAAGATGACTCGTGTGAGTACTTACCGTACAGATTGACGTCCTGAACTGGAGGAGTATCACGAGTCCAAAATGTTAGTTTATTCCATTGATTTGTGACATTGATCAACAATGGTTGCTGATGTTCACCAAGACCATAGAGATATGGACTAGAAAGTTGACTTGAAAATTTGATGAATTGATCAGCATAGATGAGTGGTGCCACACTGGTATCGAATCTAAGATAGAACACATACAGTTAACCTTTCAGAACAAAAAGGAAAAATTTCTCTGCTCACAAGAATAGTCTCTTTGCTACTGGTCAGTTCTCTAGCGGACAAAAAAGTGAAGGATGAGAAAAATATGCTCACATTGTTACACCAGTCGATTTTCGTTTAACAAGAATGGCAAATGGTGCTTGACTAAGTGAAACTTCGTAATCAGTGACATTCACTTTTGTTTTGACGACAGGTACTTCAAGTGGTACTTCGAAGCGTTTCTTCGTTGAATCATAAATTCGTAGACGAAATCGTTGTGCTGTTTCGTAGAAAAGATCAACTGTTAAACTCAAAATTTCGTTCGGCATATAGGTCGAGTTTTGTTTAACAATTATTAACCGTTGACCAAAAGCAGTTGATTCATTAGTCTTTATTTGATAGGTTGGAAAGTCTCGTGGATAATAACACGAAGGCACGTCCATTTCAAGAGCATTGGTCGAGAGCATTTCGGACAACTGATTCATCGGTTTCCAACAACAATTACGAGCCAGACATTTTTCTTGTGATACAAAAGGTTCAGGATAACAATCAAACCGTGCTGTTGTCAAAGGTTGATCGCACTGTTGTGCAAATGTAGATCGTATGAAGAATAGCATCACAATCCATTTTATTACAAATAATTGTGCCATTCAATGAATACCTCTATCTAAAAGCGAACAAAGCATCATCAAGAACTTCATTATCAAAGAATGCACAAGAGGTGAAGAGGAGTTTCGTCAAAATATGATGTAAAAAACTAACTTAAAATATGAGAACACACAGCATATATTAAATAAAAAAATAAAACTCATTTGTTTGTTCAATATTGGATCTTGAAAATATTGTAAAATGAGTTGTAATAAACTGAAGCCTCTTTCTTAATCATATACTTCGATCCTTTTCTCAACTATGTCTGATTCGTTTTTCAACAGATTAATAATGGTTGAATCTGCTTAGTTTCCTACAATTGTTACTCATTTTGTGTCACAGAATCTGGTTGAACTTTTTTAACAATGGAGTATTGATGAAAGCGTATGTGAGAATGTTCAGATTGACTTTGAAATCAACTTGAAAAGCAGGTAGAATTGAGTCAACAAAATAAAGTTATACATATATATATGTAAGTTTCAAGAAATGACGACAATATACTTTTAGCAGTCAGATTCACGTCATTTGAGTTTTGTCTATAATTTTCGATTCATTGACTAAACACATGATTGAATTATCGTTGTCTGAGAAACAAAAACAAAGAATTTATATTAATTGACCATTTTGCTACTGTTTACCTGAGGTTTCTTGCTGGATTCAAACAAGAAAACGAATGTGACGAAGAAATTCAACGTCATCTATCAAATATCTGCAGCTTCATGTTTGCAGACTTACGAACTAGCTCTTCCCTTCTAAGCACCATATATTGCAATCGACTACTTCGAGTGATTAAAATTAGAGTATCTTGTTTTGCATTGTCGTTTGATCAATATGTGAAATATGTGCTTTCGTATAATAAACTAAGATGATTCAAAATGATAAGGGTTGGTAATAGCATGTTAACATGCACGTGTTTTGATATTTATCTTTCGAGATAAAAGTGTGAAGTGTTTAAGAGAAAGAGTATTAGCCCAACAAGACAACATTTGTTTTACAGGTTTTATAAAATTATTCTGCATACCATTAGAGAAAAACGTTAGTAAAGTATATTACTGAGAAGTTTTTCCTCAAACATAAACTAGATTGTATAAATATTATGATCGGCTTGGATCATAGTAATATTTGTCTATAAGAATAGATTAGAAAAAAATTTGAGTAGCATATTCTACGTTAGTTTAATAAGACGTATATCATAAGCCAGGCTCATTCTAATGGCTCTAAAATTTTATTATCAATTCCAAGACGTGGTAGAAAACTATTGACAATTGATCGTTACCAAATTCGTATTTTTAATTTATGTCAGTTGTTTGAAACCAGAAAGTCGGCATCGTCAACCGTTTTTTTAACTCTTTTATGTAAAAGAGAGTACAGCCATTCTTCCGAAATTAATATCATCTTCGTAAAAGTTTGTTCGATGAATTTATTTCTGATAATCAGAGCCTTTTTAACTTTGAAAATAACTAGATGACGACGATTCCAAATGTTATTGAGTTGGTATGCAGCTCTGCAATTTTCTTCTTTCTTTCCTCCTATGAAATCCATGGCGCTTCCTCTACATATTTATCATGACCACGAGTCTGGTTAAAACAAGAAACACTATTATCGGTTCATAATTATTCTTCACAATGGGCATGTTAGTACTCATTTTCCTTCGTTTTTTTACTTTTCTTGAAACAATAAATTAAACACACAGTATGGAATTCTTGTCCACCGAATTATTATAACGTTCATATTATATTTGATCAATAGCCTTCTGATTAACATTTTCTATTCAGAACCATGCAAATACAGGAGCATTTATATATTGGCTTTTCTAAAAGAAACAGGAAAGGTGGCACTAAGTGCTACGGCTAATAGTGCAAAATAGCCAATAGTCATAAAGCAACTATGTAATAGAGTTCAGAACACGAAGATCCGATGATGATATGTACCTCCTATCATATTTGATGCTCCATGTCATTTTTGTCAAGAATAGCATGGGCAGATAATCATATCACATTTCTTGGAGACTTATTAAGACACCATGCTACTACTTTATCAGACCGATTTCACCGTTTTTCTTGTACAAATTATATACCACAAGGTCATCCATTCAAAACGTCACCCAATGAGTTACGATACAAACTAGCTTCTATTTATTTTAAGACAACTAATAAGTCAACTATGTTATAGTGTATCTAAAGTTGACATCGTTTTAACAGTATGGTCTGGAACTTTTTTTTTGACCCGCCCTCAAGAATATTGAAAGTTGTAGGATTTTGTAGCCCGTGAAAAATGCTATTGAATGCACTTCGAAGCACTTCCAGTTGTTACTAAAGTTATATGCAAAGGAGCTTTTTTTCACATGCGTGTGATACCAAGTCCAGGGAATAATACAGCATATGGACATGATCAATATATGGTTGGAGAAACCCATAAATGTATCTGTATTATAAGTCTAATCTGGTATCAAAGTATTTGCCGATAAAATTCTTGCATCCCATATAAGTTTGTACGGGATTCAGTGTGCAAAAGTCCTATGGACCAAACCACGTTCTTAGGCAGCCCTGTCCTTTACTACGTGATGTATTTAGCCATATTTTTTAATAATTTTGTAAACTCCAAAGCGAGCAAATCGAATGTTTTTATCTCATTATCTGATATTTATTCTTCTATGTGCTATGTTCATCATTTTAACACTAAAAGAAAGCCTTTACTGTAATCTACAACTGTATATGCATGGTGCTTGAAAAGTCCGGGAGTCGATAAGATAAAAAACTGAAGAAAACTTATTTTGATAAGAAGATTAAGAACGAAATTGCGAAAGAGTTTTCCAAAATGTTGTGTTCTGAAGTATTTCTAATCTTTGAAAAAAATTCAATCAAAGTCTTGCATAGTTTTTTTTTCATTAGGCAGTTTAATATATCTAATCATGCAAAAAAAGTATTGAAGTCTGTGACATTCTATCACAGCAATATATCGGTTTTAGAACTACTGCAGAACTTTAGCATTACTCTCTATATACAGACTTTTCTTTTTGGCTTCGATTATAGGATGCTGACAAGAACAAGAGTTACACCCAAAGCACGTTCAACAGTATCTGTTATATCACTATTTTACCCATGACCATGTACTACAGCTTTGTGCTATTTCTTATTTTAAGCCTTAGTTGAAATTCAATAGTACTTGTGCACATGAGCAACAATAAAAGATAATATTCTAGTGACAAAAATCTCAATTTCGCTAATACATGAAAATCCGAATACGCCAGTAAAAAAGAACAGATGAATTTGCGAGTCTGATCAAAAAAGCAAGCACCAATACCTGCAATCGAGACTAGTGGTTTACTCGATACGTCTTGCAGGGTTTTTAATCGCTCTTCTGAAAGGGAAAATTCAAATGCATTGGAAACAATAGTGACTAAAATCTATATAGTATAATTTCATTTTCATCTTTTTCATGAATTTTCATTTGCGATTTCAACCAATATCGATAACAAATGATATTACTTGGTTTTTGAAAACACAAGTCAAAAGAGTTTCACCTAAACAAAGAAAAGATGAAAAAATGATTGAGAAATATATTTCATTAGATTATTGTCTTGTCATGTAAGCCTAAAGATCTAATCCTTTTTTTTTAAATAAAGCTTTAATCTACATATTAGATGTTCTTCTTAAATAGATTGCTATTCCATGAACTCGTGATGTTGATTGTTAATTTCATATATACAAACAGACGCACATGAATGAGCTCCAGAAAGTCATCATAAACATATTTGATATTTCATTTACGTTGAAACCAAACATTTAAAGACGACAAATAATTATCAATGAGTAATCATTGATTATCAATAAAGGAAAAAAAGAATTTTTCTTTGAATATTTTTTTTTATATAAAATTTTATGTTTTATTTGGAAAGATCTCAGGCAACAAGTTCCTTTTCATTCATATATATATTTACACATAAATATGAATAAAATACAAAACTATTTTAAGGAGCATCCCCAATTACACATTGATCTGTTCTCATGTAATGAAAACCAGAGTAGAACTACCCGTTCTTTCTGGTTAACCGCAGTATAAAAATGCTGCTGTGTAGTTAACTGGCAACATGTTACATTCAGCTTCGCTAATATTTATCATTGCAATAAATACTTATTTTTCAATTGACGAAATTTTATTTTAAAAAATAGTAACAGCTACAAAATATAAAAAATTAATTAACCTAGAAAAAATAAATAGAAAAATTGTATTGTGAATATGTTTACCGTTGATAATTGGTTGTAACGATGAACTGATATTTAAAGTATTATCTAAATAAATAAACATTCTGCTCTAGTGACTGGATAATAATTAGAATTACAATTTTAATAATTTTGACTTCATGATGGTATTAGTTGCATCCAACAATGTGCCAGAATTTCATAATTTTTGCCATCATATAAGACGTTGTAGTAATAGTGGTATATCAACACATCTTGAATGACTTGTCGATCTGCTCAAGACATCTTGATAAAGAAATATTTCATAATCATGTGATTATCTCTTCATTGTTGAAATACTTATTTCCTACATTATCAACTTCACAAAAATTATGTTCTTCTCACCTTGCACCAGGAAGCTTGTAAATCAATCAGAACATCAACTCATGTTTCCTTTTCGTCACTTTACTTTTGCTAAATGTTTTTACAAGTTTGTCTTCGATCAGAATTCTAATAATTGTTTTAGTGAAAATTTCTTTACATTTGATTTGATACTGTTTATGTATTTATATGAACTCAGTCAGTATAAATTAATTGACTTACTGATGTCATTGGATTTTCTACTTGTGCCGAACACACAAAAGAAATAGCTACGGTAATTCACCTGCACTCATGTATATATATGTGTATGCATTGTCTTTTTTTGTTTTATTGTCACTCGACAGTTGTGCAATAAACAGAATGGAATGAATTCTCACACTATGATATGTATAATACGGAAGGGAAAATGTGATAGCGAACGAAGAAAACCTTAGAAAGAA